TCTCAGGAACTAGGGCATTCTGCTAGGCTAGAACGGTTTCTTACGATAGAGTTTGGCACAAATACGGAAATAACACGCTGTTTAGCGCACTGCGCTACGTCCTTCTGTTGCATTTTCGCATTTCCGTAATCAGAATAAGCCCCGCCTTCTTCGTTGATGGGCATGAATGGGGCATCAACAACGTGACCCGTTACTGCGTGTAGGTGTTTGGCGAGACTGTTTGCTTTTCGTAAATAATGAAAGGCCCGGCCGATGCATTTCGCACCGAAGTGGAAAATTTAGGCATTTTTACCCGCTTTCGGAAGTCAACGAGTGCGTCGTTCATTGAACATTAAAGTTTTTCTTAAAATTAAATAATTCCGAAAATCCCTGACCGCGCTACTCGATTGTTTTAGCCAATGAACGTAGCTGTGTGTGTGACGTCTTGCCCGCGCGCTTTATGCTTGGCTTAGCGGGCCTCGAAATGGATATCGGAGCCACGCACCTCGCAACACGCGTGTTTGTTGACATATAGCTTTGTGACATCAGGATGGGCGGTGTCGGGAGTTCTGCGATGATAACCTCGTAATTTCTCAGCATTTCTTAAGGTGCATGAAACATTTTACCAATTTAGTGGTGTCAGTTAGTCACGGATATGTCACAGTAAGTACTGACCGTATATGTTTTACATACGTTCAGCTATTTTGCACACAGGCGGTCGATCATTGTGAAAATGTTTGTGAAGATTTTCTTTTTATTGAGACGTTCCAAGTGCCTATGCTTTCATCAGTCTTGTACGTCAATGCACGTGCGTCAAGAGCCATAAACTCAACACAATTTTATCTCTGTTATTGTTAACGCCTGAATGCGTGATTGATCAGGGAGGGGGTGCATGTAAGAGGGAGACATTTTCTTTGGGGTTCCGAAAAACACAATTCCACTTGACAATTTCATGGGCCATTTCAATTAGACGCTCTGAATAATGGACCCCACACAAGCCCTTTGACTGACTAGTTAAGAAATTCAAAGGTCTGTATATTGCTCTTATTTAGCCGCCGATAGTTCTTATTTATAACAAAGTCTTTATTGTTATCTTTTAAAACTACAGCCCATTCGCTGATCGCTGTGGAGACGTGCGCCGGGCCGCGAATTTTTTTCCTATACGTTATATCTATTGTGCTTGATATACGCATATTAACTTCCGCATCAGACTTTCCGTATATCAAGGAATGATGCAAAAATCCTAACCCTAACCCGAACCCTACCACTAACTATAAACCGAATCGGCTTATATACTATCTATGGTATCCCAAACACTATCTATGGTGTGGTCAAATCAAAGCAGCCAATCAGAGGGGCCCAATGGATATAACGTGTAGAAAAAAAAATTCGCCGCCGATTTTGGGGCTTCGAATTTGGCGCACGTCTCCACTGCGGACAGCGCTTTATACTTGAACATCCTCGCGGTCGCGTGCGCATATTATATCCCGCGGAACTGCGCGTCTCATCCACGCGCAGCGCTCAGGATCTAAAGCAAAGCTGTGCCACGCAATCTTGTATCATGTCTCTCTGGATTCGGTCTATACACGTCGAGTCTATTTATAGACCTGCCTATTCGCGGGTTTAATACAATATTTAGCGTGCTGCTTGCATATAAAAACTCACACACTAACTAAACCGGGACCGCTCGTTTTACTGGATATGGTATTCCGATCCTATAATCTATATATATATTACCAATGCCGTTCTTCTTTAACTCTTAATGTGTCTACATTCTTTGGCTGTGCTGGCTTCGTTTTCTCCTCCGCATTGGCATATAATGACACTTGCTCTTCCAGATATTTCTTAGATGCGTCCTTTTGTCTACGGCGCGGGCAAATACGACGGCCTTTTCTTCTACTACTCGTTGCAGTCTTAGCACTCGCGGCCTTGTGCGCGTCGGCTTATTGCCATGAAGGTGCAGCACTTGCAGTTTAAGGACAACGCGTAGCTAGGTCAGTCGTGGGCTTCGTCACTGACTTGCTGCTCGATCTCTCCGCTCTCTGTGTCTTTTCTGCTTTAGCGGCAGAGATGCGCGTGATCTCCCGCTTTTTTCATTGTCGTTCGCCTGCTGTGAAATGTAGGCTGTAGGAGTAACTCTCAAACTCGTCGAATTCAGTCTCTCGAATGCTGCAAGCTAGCCAGATATTTCATCGTTCATTCTATCACGGGACTGCATGACATCCACGACCAAAGAATGATGGAGACTTTGACTGTACGGTGGATTCGTAAACCACCGCTGCCACAATGTTGTAGTATCGCATCACAGCCAAACTGCTAACAGTGATTATGATTTTATCTTAATCTTAGTCACATCATTTTCTTACCATTGTGAGGGAGATGTGGTAGTATTATATTGATAGGTGATGAGGCTGCGGAGGCGGAGTGATATAAAAATAAAGGACTGGAAATATGGCTACCAAATTATAATCACTGTTAGCAGTTTGGCTGTGATATAATATGCGATACTACAACAATCATAGCCGCCATCGCTGACGGGAAACTGTCTGTACGCGCACGCGGGTTTTGGAAACATTGATTTTTAGCGGGTTATATTGGTTTATATTTCATGGCATGCGCTGCATTGATTAAAATGCGGTATTTCTACATCGAAATAACGAACAATATTAAACAATATACGTACAACTCTTTCTCTCGCACACACACACACACACGAACGCACGCACGCACGCACGCACGCACGCACGCACGCACACACACACACACACATGCACACACGCGCGCGCGTTTTTCCCACATATCTTTAACTTATTCACGCTTATTCAGTATCACTTGAATGTAGATAGATTGTCAGAATGCGGCTATAGAACATTACAAAAGACTCGTCCGGAGTTTTAATTTCGTGCGAATATGCGCGCTAATCAGCAGGAAATAATAACCGCTTTATTGAGACTAAGAATTATTTTAATTACCGGAAAGTTAGCAGTCGCCGATGGCTTATTTAGATCTAACATGACAGTAGCCGTTGCTTTATGCAATCAGTATGACATATATCTTGTATTACGTTAATAAGTGACTTCAGACGGCAGATTTAGATTTATTAATCGAATTCACTGTCATTACCAATACATCATTGAAATATTTTAATTAATGTTAATACATGTATTTTATAATTGTATATAATTGAATATTAATTTCGCGCGTGATAAAGAGTTTCGGAATAAATCTTGTTGATAGTATTGTAAAATTTTTACGATATCTAGCCCCCGATCTCTTTCCTCCTACTTATATCTATTTAAAAAAATGGTAGCAATAACGGTGAGAGTGATGACAGTGGGGTACAAGGAAGTGTGGGATGAGATGAACACCTATACTTTTACCCTATTCAAGCCATTACTTAAAATAATGTCTGACAATTATTATATCGCACAATTAATGATAGCCAATTACGTGACCAACTGCAAAATAAATCTTCGATCTCTCAAGGGTTAGATTTTCGGGTTGCGTTATTCTCCCGCCGCTACAACTGATGTAGCTACTAGGAGTGACATTGACGCTGAGATAAAGTCGTTTCAACAATCTGTTCATATTTGGAGTTCGCCGTCGATCGCTGCTGTTGTTCATGGTTTAAACGCGTTTACGATCATTGCAAACTTTACAAGCTCTTTCTAGCAGCTATTCCCAAAATCGCAAAAAAGAAAGACGGTTAGATTAGAGACCCATCTTTCAAACACCACTCGATCTTATAGTTGGAACCGAAAAGTCTAGATCCTAGTAGGCTTACTTCTAAAGGCAGAATATACAACTATTTCCAAGTTGGTTCTCCCCGCCACGTGGGGCTGTGTGTGTAGACCCACTAAACCTTTGTCGTAGACATCAATTTAACTAGCAATCATTATTATTATTACCATCATTACCACCTTTATCATTATCATTATTGTTACTATTATTATTATTATTATTATTATTATATTGTTATTATTATCATATTATCTTTGGCGTGTCCTTTATATGGCGTCAGGTGATATAGTGCAAGGCTATTTATAAACAACGCAGTGTAAGCGCTATAACAAAGATTGCCGACCGAATTCAAATCTGTGAGTACCTAAAGTATATGTAATTACTCATTAATCTGTGAGTACCTAAAGTATATGTAATTACTCATTAATCTGTGAGTACCTAAAGTATATGTAATTACTCATTAATCTGTGAGGTACCCTAACGTAAAATATGTAAAATACTGCCATTAATCTGTGAGTACCTAAAGTATATGTAATCACTCATTAATCTGTGAGTACCTTAACGTAATAATGTAATTAACTACATTAAATCTTGTGAAAGTACCTAAAGTAATATGTAATTAACTCATTACTGTGGTGAAGTACCTAAAGTATAGTAATTACTCAATTAATTCTGTGAAAAAGTACTCTTACAGTATATGAAATTCACTCAATTAATCTGTGAAGTAACGCTAAGTATATGTAATTACTCATTATGTGTGAGTTACCTAAAGTATATGTAATTACTCATTAATCTGTGAGTACCTAAAGTATATGTAATTACTCATTAATTCGAGTTTTGAAAGTTTAAGGAATGGTGATCACGTGACGCGCTTTACCACAATTTATCAAGGCAACGTCTATCATACACTCGTTAGCCAACTCGTTTAAAGAATTCCCTAATTTAAATATTGTCAGACGTAAATGCGCAACATGGTGGTTGGCGTGTAGGAGTCTACGCTCTCCCAACCTAATCGATGAAATCAAATCATTAAGGTCCCGCAAGGAAATAATCCGGAAAACCCCGAACCGCTGATTCGTACTTTTCAATGGTACAATTATTTTTCACATATTAAAGTTAAACAGTACAAATTTACGACAATCCGACAGAGATATTAGTTACCAAAGGTAATAGAATGCATAAACGGAATATATTACATATTATATAATATATAATATACACATATTACATATACGCGCGTCAACTTCTGACCGGCCGCGATCTTCTGCTATAACACTCACCGTCGCTTCATCTGAGATGACTGGTGTCGCAGATACGCAAGCAGCGAGCACAACCAGCAGGAAGCTGGCAATGAGTAGTTGTACAACCGAGCACATTTTCGTCCGTAGAATCGAGCGTCTGAAATGTGAAACTACCTGTGTACTGTGTGCTGTGCGTAAAGACGGTCGGCAGACAAGTGCTTGCTGGCGCCTACGTGCTACTGTTGCACTTGATATACCTTCTCGACGCCGACTCGTTATGGCGTTAGAGCCAATCAGCGAGCGGCTGCCATTGTCACTGCGCGGTAACAGTGTGCGTGCATGTAGGAGGATAAACGGCTTAGGTTGTCACCGCTACATCCTGTTGCGTTGCCCTGCACTGTATTGGCGACCACTATCAATTAGAACTATTTTTTTCTCCTCCGCATTTTCTTTCCCTATGTCCCTGTTTCTTTGTACCTCGGCTGCTCCCTTCTCCTTCCTCTCAATTCTCACCCCTTTTCTCTCCTATCCCTCTCCCTTCTCGTTCTTCTCCCTGTTCATTTCCACCCCTCTCTCTCCCTCTCTCACTCCCTCCCTCTCCATCTCCCTCTCCCTCTTTCTCTCGCTCTCCCTCTCCCTCTCCCATTCCCTCTTACTCTCCCTCTCCCTCTCCCACTGCCTCTCCTTCTGCCTCTCCCTCTTCCTCTCCCTCTCCCTCTCCCCCTCCCTCTCCCTCTCCCTCTC